TAAACCCCGGTTCCCATGGTCCGATCATGCTGGTTCGCGAACTCGTTCGAATAAACGTAGGTTTACACGTTTGTACCAAATTTCATCAAAATCGGATCATTTTTGCTCGAGTTATCGCGCTAACGGACACATATATATATAAATATATATATATATATATATATAAATATATATATATATGAATTTGAACGGATGGTGTTTTTGACCTCTAGGGACCTCAAAACGAAAAAAAAAATCGGTCCCGGGTCCAGGTCTTACCGTGAGTACTACGGTAATAGCTTATTCCCTATATGGGAAATTCGCTAATAAGTTACAGATTATTTATGCTATATTATGATTGATAGAAAACAACAAAGCTTTTGACTTTATCACATACCTTTTATCATTATAAACTTTATTACTGAACATTTTTACAAACGCATTAAACAATTTTGGACCAAGACAACAAAATTGATGCCTACTAGTTTCCTTTTTAAAAAAGCTTTCTGCTAACAAGTAATATTGTGCTGATCAAGATATTCTATTGACAGGTTTCATATTAAACATGTACAGATATTTAAAAACAAACATAATCAAATAGTATACGTGCAATTGATTGAAGGTTAAAAGCTTTTCTTGTTCAAAAAGATAACTTACTCTATCATATTTTTTAAATCCAAAAACTGTCCTCAGTGCATGTCTTTGGTTCGTGATGACAGGTTGTAATATGGTAGGATAAGTAGGCCTACCCCCATAATGTACTATTCCATATCTCATCACACTTTCAAACCAGGAGATGTATACCTTTTTTAAATGCTCACTCCCAATGTTGTCTCAAGTGATATAAAGCATAATTTATTTTCCTTAATTTAATTGAAAGTTGTTTTACATGCTGCTCCCACTTTAAATGATGATCAACAAACAATCCTAGATATTTAACATATTCTACTACTTCAATACAACTGCAAGAACAATTATACAAACAAGAGTGTTTATGGCACAATAAATTAAATTCATTTTGTAAATTTTCTCGTGATTGATCATATTCAAAGAAAAATAAACATTTAGACTTTAAGGAGTTTATTAACAATCTGTTTTCAATTAGCCAATTTGATATCTTGCCTAATATTTTCTTATTTTTAGTTTCAGCGACTCTTTATTGAAAGCTGAGCACACAAGAGCTGTATCATCAGCATAGGCAAATATTTTTGAATATAAATCAAGCTCCAGCAAGTCGTTTATATATATCAAAAAAATAATGGGGCCCAAAACCCCTCCTTGAGGGGTGCCAAATTGCAAATCAAGCACTTCACTCAAAACATTATTAACTTTCACAGCCTGCTTTCTTCCTTTACAAAAAGATTGCAACCACTCTAAAGCTCTACCACCTATGCCATATTTTCTAAATTTTTAAAACAGCACATAATGATCCAAAACATCGAATGCTTTTTGAAAATCTAAATACAAAGACAATGTATATTTACGTTTGTCAATGGCATCATTGATAGTACTGACATTTCTTTCTAAAGCAAGATCAGTGCCTTTACCTGGCAAAACCCATATTGATTTTGAGAGAAAAGAGATCTACTAGAAAAATATTCCATGAGCCTCTTTTTAACCAAAGTCTCAAAAACTTTAGCTACAGTACTTATAACGGAGATAGGCCTGTATGATGAAATTTTAGATAAACTTCCAGACTTATGAATCGGTACTACCGATGCTATCTTGAACCTGTCTGGGTAGACACCTTGATCCAAGGAAATTCTAATTATTTTACACTAGCTGGCCCGACGGACGTCGTCCTGTCCTATTGTGGTTTTATGTCACATGCTCGTTCATTTTCAAGATGAGCTCGTTCGCATGGCTCAATCACGTCCTGGTTGAAGTTCGTTCGCTACGCTCACTCACCTTTTGGTTGCAAATTAGCTGTTCTCATAAATTAAAAAAAAATATAGTGCTGCACCCTGTTGGTAAACCTATTAACTTTTTAATGCTATTGAACATCACAGAATCAAATTGTTTAGCTGCACCAGCTGTTAAGATTCTTTAATTCCATTTAAATATGAGTACACATAAGGTTAACATGGGAAACTCCAGAGCCACTGGGGCGGAGCCCTATTGACGGATCTGCACCAAACTTCACACAAACCATCCTTGAATAATGCTTAATAATGCCTAAAAGTTTCATTACAATCTGTCGAGTGGTTTTGGAGTCCATAAAGGACAAACATACAAATATACAAACATACATTGGATTTTATATATATAGATAACAATGGGGTGAATACATCTAAGTTATCCTTAATTATAAAAATATTCATACCATCTATCCCAGCACTAGCCTTATTTTTTAAAGATTTAACTATATCTACAATGTCTGACTCGATAAATACAAAATCTCTAATAAAAATATCATAAGTACACAAACACATACATATCACAGCCAAAGTTCTCATGCTTTAATTCAGGTACAATTTGTGTAAAATAATCATTAAATTTATTTGCAATAAGTTTCTCACTGCCACTACATTCAATAAGGACATCATCTATCTCAAAACTAGATAAATTACTTTTATTACTTCTAATTATTTTTTTTATAACACTCAAATAAACCTTTGAATCCCCAATTAGGGCCCTTTCACACGAGGCCACTGGTGGCCGCCACCGGTGGCCGCCACTGGTTGCCGCCACTGGTTGCCCGCCACAGCTTTAACATTATTTTAAATGGGACCTTTCACACACAGCCACTGCAGTTGCCCGCCACTACACAGTGGCCGAGCAGTGTCTCCTCGCGCAACTGCTAGTCGGCCACCGCCGGCAACTGCAGTGGCGGCAACTCGTCGCGGGGCATTGAATTAAATGGGAGCTTTCACACGTAGCAACCAGTGGCCGCCACCGTGGATGAGCGCGCAGTTACTATTTTATTTTGAATCAGTTCACGTGTAGACTGCAAAGACAAACGCACTATGGTAGTTGTTGAGTGTTTTCGTGTTGAATTGTTTGTTTGTTAAAATGGGTGATCAGAAGAAAAATAAAGAGGACGTTGCTGAAAAAGAAAAAGACACAGGAAAACAACAGAATAAGAGAATAAACAAAATAATAGAAAACAAAGTTGATACTGAAGATCTAATTTGCGAAATTGAAAAGTAGCCGGCAATTTGGAATAGCACGCCTGTGTCTTTGCCTTATTTCCTTTATTATCAACGCGATAAGAAGGAGATGTTCATTGTTTGACAGCATTTTCACAACTACCATTGTACAGTGGCTGTAGTAAAGTGGCTTGTAAGTTGCCTGTACCATCCACTGCAGTTTCCCGGCCGGTAACTGGTGGCGGACACCGGTGGCCGCCACCAGTGGCCTCGTGTGAAAGGGCCCTTAGACCTCTCAATCAGACTAGAGTAGTAATTTTTCTTAGCTAACCTAATTTTTCTTGTCACCAGCCTGGAAATGTTTTTATACTGCATTTTCAACTGAACATTGTTTTTATCTTTTGAAACCATACTATGAAGTTTGTATTAATTAATTCAGACAAAAACAAACTAATTCCGTAATGATCTGTTATACCTATTTTATCAACAGTATGAACAAAAGCAATTCTTTTTGTATTTCTTAATAACAAATGGTCGATACAAGATACACTATTATTTATCTCCCTAGTAGGCTGATTAATTAAATTAGTAAAACCATATGCAGAAATTAAGTAAAGGTAATCAGATTTAGATCCAGAATCATAAATTTATGTTAAAATCTCCAACAAAAATTGTAGGGTCATTTGATTCTAATAACAAATTTTCAAAATCAGATTTAAAATTATTATAACCGTGTTTACATTGACCTTTGTCTCTGTACGATGTACTGAATTTACATTTTGTTATTTGGGTAATGACTGATGCAAAAATAACGACATAAGCACTGATGCACATTTTTTTATCAATAGTTATCAGTATGGGGGAGGAATGAATATGTAATTTAGTTTGAAGCAAGTTTAAAATTTGGGAGTGATTAAATAAATAAGGTAAACATTTAAATTTTTTCTAACATTTCTTGACTTTAAATAGTCGATTTCGACTTGCGGTATACCTGGAAAAAGTGTTATATCAGTCTGGAAAAGCCAGGGAATTTTATTTTCCAAATTTAGTACCAACCCTGTCATGGTAAGAACTCGACCGGAAACCAAATTAGTTTTTCCTTTTGATGTCTTCAGTAGAGGCCAAAAAGCACTATCAATTCAAATTAATGTACATAATATTAATTTATATGTGTTTGTGTGTGTGTCTGTTAGCATGAATTCAACTGATTTTGATTAAATTCTATACAAATGTCTAAACCTACATTTACTCAAACAAGTTCCCTAACCAGCATGATCAGACTAAGGGTTAAGGGTTCGTATGGGTAAAATTTGTACTACCCCTTTTTGACTCCCAAATTATAATAGTTCTGCAATTTATTTCTTAACTATTTGGTAGAGCTTAAAAAATATATAATTTAGGAAATAGAATTGTTGTACGTTTAATGGTTGTAGAGAACTTACTGTTGTAGTTTGCTTGTTTATGTATGTATTTTGATCAAGTTTATATTTCAATTCACCCCCGCCGCAGCAAACCTGCAGACTTACCGAATTTCCATTTGCCTGTTTTGATTCTCAATTCTCACTTAAATGGATTTATTAAATTACATTAGGTTTTAACGAGTACCTAGGTTTGCTGCTACCAGGGTGTTTAATATATAGCTAATTTGCTGCTATAAAGTGTGTTTTTTAGTATAATATTATTAATAGCTTGGTATAAAATAAATGATTTGGCCAGGTTTGATCAACATATCCATAAATAACCAAACTACAACAGTTTACTTACTCTCCATAAGAATAACATAGGATTTTTAAATTTACAATTTTTTTTTATTTTCTCTACAACCAATAACAGTACAAAAACACTTCAATATACTAAATTATTTGTTTTTTAAGGTCTTTAGTTTTGACTGTCAAAAATTAGATAAACCAATTTTTACCCCATACAGCACCGTTCCCATGGTCCGATCATGCCGGTTCGCGAACTCTTTTAAGTTTATCCCGCCCTACATCTTAAATCCAAATATCATCAAAAGCAGGCAAAAATTACTCTTGTTATTGCGTTTACGGACGTAAATATATTTACACGTATAAAAATTTTAATGAATAGTGTTTTTTGACTTCTTAGGGACATTAAAAAGAAAAAGTATATTGGTCCCGTGTCCAGGTCCCACCTACGGTAATAGCTACTTCCCTATAGGGAAATTTGCTAAAAACACTACTACCTCCCAGCAAAGTTCTAAGTACTAGATAAAATTCATGTTATTTAAATGTAAAACTATCTTGTCAATTTTAAAGGAATATTTTACTGAAAATCCAACCAGATAAATGGAAATTTTCTTAGTCTGCAGGTTAGCTTTGGCAGGGGTATTTTCGGTTAACCGACATTTTGGAATTCTACAAGGTCATTGAAAAGGGTAAAAATAATTAATGTTTCTTGTTAAAGAACTTGTATTGAAGTACTTGTAACTTGTATTGAAGTAATGAATTGATCCTTTTTATAAGCATAAGTTAGTATTAATAGTTTACATCACTTGTCGTGTGTTGTATATATATAGCATAAATACATTTGAAGTGTGATGAGTTTAGGGGCACTCCACTATAAAACCTTACAAATATATACTCCTGGCTTTCACAACAAAATACTCATCGCAAACAGGTCCTTGCCAATGATGAAATGTGCAGGACTAAAACAGACATCAGTAGTCACTTCAGTCAAATATGCCTGCTTAATTTTTGTATTTATTCTTCTCATCATCATCTAAAGTTTTAAGAGCCAATATATCAATCTCAGTCTTGGTCTCATCACCACAAGTACTCACACTATTGGAATATTCTTGAGATTTTCGCAAACTCCAGCTGGGACATAAATGTAGTTTCAACTTTTGTAAAACATCACTTTTGCAAACAAAGAAGAAGAAGATCGCCAGTCCCTGAAATAAATGTGTCAATATAAATATCTGCTGTATGAACATGTTATTTCTTATATGGTCTGGGCTGTATTTTGTTCCTGTGTAGTGAAGTTTTCTTCTATAAAGATTATGCAACTCAATTTAAACCTTTCCTAGTGTAAAATTAAGTGTTCATAAATTCTACTAGATAATCCTTATTAAAAATGCTTTATTTATAAAGGCTATAATTTTGCCAAAAGTGATTATCATCAGGGACACGTTTGTTGTGGCTGGAGGGAGGCTAGTTGCTTCTAGTAGGAAAATTCTCTGGCTGTTCATATTAGGGAGAAGGGTTGTGCAAATAAATTCTGTTTACCTCTGTGTGCCTCTGTTTACAGTTAGGCTTCAATTTTCTTTGCAAATTGATATAAAATAATAAAAATAGTTGCAGGCTCATTATTCTCTAGTGTTCTCTTTATTAGTAATTCACAAATATATATTTTATTTACATTAACATTTAAGCTGTTTCACACTCACAACCAACATAACTTTGTAAAATGCTACTGAGCAATAATTGAACTTAGGTTTATGTCATTAAGAGGAAGACCTTGAAAAAATAAAATTTCAAGGCTTCCCTTTCGAGTGGGCATCAAGGGAATTTCAGGTGGGCAGAACAAAGGCAAAAAGGAACGTAATGATGCAAATGTGCTTGCGAGATTTGTAGACCATATGCTGTATCATCAGCAACAAAGTTTCAATACAAAGTCCAAAGTGTGAAATACTTCGGTAAAGTATTTTCTCGAAAAGGTTGTGTGGACTACAAGTCCAGGACCATATTAGAGCAAACGTAGGTCTGGAAAGCCCTAAAAGAATTGCAACGGTTGCTGGGAATGTTTAATTTTATCAGAAGTTTTATTCCAAAATGGCAGAAATAACGGGAGCGTTTCATAAACTCCAAATTTCACAAACTCCAACGCTTAAAATATTAAATAACCAGAGCGGTTCATAACCTCCAATTTTCATAAGCTCCAAATCTATAACATTCAAATAATCACTGTTTCACAATGTCCAAAATTCACAAACTCCAACGTTAAGATACCAAATAAACAGTGCGGTTCATAATGTCCAAATTTCATAACCTCCAACGGTACAGTCTGAGCCAGAAGTCTCTACAGTGGTTGCCACAGTCAGATAGCAGGCACCGTTCGCCAGCGCTCAACTACTGATTATACGTGCATTTTATGATTGAAGAACATTCAGCTGTGTGACTCAAATATGTGTTAGCACATAATGTGCAAATCAAATTTACATTTTTACATTTTTAATACCTTTAATTCAAGCTTTCAGCTGAGTTTCTTAACTGTTCCGTATCTCAATTAAAAAGCCAATTATTACATTACAAATATCGTAAGAGATTTTTTTACCGAAGAAAAATTTTAAAACATATAAATATGTTTTATAAGTATATTTTCTAATAGCTGTTAAAATTTCATAACGATTACATCAGTTGTTTTTTTTGTCATGTGTAAAAATAGCCCTTTGTTAGAAAAGTGCCGAAAACCTTGTACTTTATTCATTCTACCCACTAAAAGGATGAGTTTAAACTACATAAAAAGGTAGAGACTAACATACATAAACGCAGAAATACATTTTTATAAGTAGGATTTAACTTATACATCATATTGTAGGTATACTGGTCACGTTTCAATAAAAGCTCATACTCGAGTATTTACACTTTTTTACTCACAGCAGTCTCGTTTCTCTTTGCAACTTAATGTGGCTAGTTCAATAATGTTAAAGTTTTGACAAGGTGATAATTTATATTTTGATTTGCCTTTTCAGTGGAGAGCTAAGCACTGTATACCTTTTATTTACCAATAAAAATGCGTAATCACAAACAGTGGAGTCTTTGACTGTCGTATAAAATATTAAGGTATGAAGTTGTTGTTGTAACGATTATTGCATATTCTATTTAAAAATAGTGTTCAATGTAAATAATTCAACAAGTTATTAGATAGGTACCTTTTATAGTTTTTAGATTCTATTTAGCAAATTTCCCTATAAGAAAGTACAGTAGCTATTACCGTAGGTGGCATTGTAAGACCTAGGCCCGGGACCGATTTACTTTTTGATTTTGATTTTGTTAGCGTATTATATATATAGATTTCCGTAGTGGTTAATTATTCATGAGATTTACTTTCTGGAGAGAATTTGTAGAATAGTGTTTTATTAACTGTAAGGGTTTCTGTAATATTATTTATAATATGTTACCTTAAATTATCACTTACATTTCATTACACAGTTTAACTTTAACTAGTCTGAATTTCAATTTTTCAGTGAATATAAATTAAAATGTATGCAGCACTTAGCTCGAATTGATTAGGGGTTTAGGTTGGATAAGAAAAAGTACAGTCCAGCAAAAATTTCGCACCACGGCCTTGCTGGCGTTGCAGTCAAGAGGGAAGCTATCGTCAAGAGGAAACACCATACTTTGCAAAAAAATGTATAGGCCTATTTTTTGTTTTGGTCAGAGAGGTTCTGCCTGTGGCTAAGTTGTAGCCAATAGTTTAATGCATAAAATAGCCTGTATTTTTTAATTGTTTACAAACAATGTTTCTGTAGATTGCTTAAACATGTAGGGCAATTTAGCATTTTGCAACGTGTAGAAAGAAACTACAATCGTACGCGTGCCGTATGGACTAATGTTTAATTACCTAAGGACAAAATAAAAATTAATTTATCTTTTACTGACTTTAAAAAAAAAATGCAAAATCGGCATGTAAACTGCGAACTTAATTAGGCCTTTTACCATCACTAACTTTAACAACAAAACCAAGATACCAGAAAACGCCAAATAAAATTTCAACACAAATCACTAATTTCACTAATTAATTATGGATTCAATATCAAATGGAAAACTCCTGCTTTGTTTTTATTTCAAAAACAGTATAATGAGATGATATATTCTAAACGTTTCTGTAAACATTTGACGCTTACTTTAGTGTTTAATCAATATTTTGTTTAAAGTGGAATGACCTCAACGGCTACTCTGGAACTAACCTGAGAATTAAACTAAAAAAGTTCGTAGAGATAATATATTTTTTCACTAAAGCAATTACTATGACAAGTTCCAGTGAGCGGGATTTATTAATTTTGTTTGGAGAAGGTTTTAACTAGGTACATTCTGTTTCTCAAAGGAAAAGGGGTTAAAATCATATAGACTAGCATGCATAGTATGAATAAAGTACAGGGAAAACCTATAACAGTAATATTTTGAGGTAGTTTCCTTTTCTTTATATGCTTGTCAATGCTGGAGAAACGTAATTTCGTGATTAGTTTCGACAAATGGGTAATCAAACCCTAACCATGCACTGCAGTGGCAAAAATGTTAGACGAGAGCCGTTGATTAGCTTTTTCAAATATAGATGAATATAAACTCGTTAAATGTTTTAAAATAAAATCCATTGAATATAACATGTAATACTATCTAACAACTAAATGGCTAAAGAGGATGAAGAAGCAAATAAATAGGTATTGTAATGTGGTCTCAACCATGGTCTCAACTATGAACCCGCTGAACGTTTTAAATAGGCCTATTTCGATAGAATGTAAAGTCAATCGAACTTTTAGCAGGAATTCCACCACATAAACTTAGAATAAGAGTAGTTTCTATTTTTGTTTATATTATTATGACCAGAACCAAATCTAGGGTAAAGTTTAGTCAAAGGGATGCATTTACACTAATTTAGTTTACCTTTACGAAAGGAGTATAAAAGTAGAAATAATAACTGGGCCAGGTCGCTAATTCAGTGGGTTTTACCAAGAACTTAAATTATCTCCACATCTTTATATGCCTTTTCATATTTCACGAAGACAATTTCCGAAATTACAATCGGGGAAGCATTTATATCAAAGAATTTTGTTAACTATAGACTACCGGTAAGCATTAAAATGCACAAACATACGCCTGTAAATTAAGTTACCATTCTTCGTAATGTAATGACATATTTGATGTAATATAATGATAATTAAATGCTAGAAACTCAGTTTCTATATCCTGTAAACTGATGCTGAGCCGGCCAAACTCCTAGCGCCAATGCCGCGCCAAGCGATTTTATGCCTATTTTTAATCGCTTAAAAATGATACAAGCAGGCTCCGTATCAAAAAAAGCTTCAAATAAAAAATAAAATTCATACTTTGATCTAAAACTTTGCCGCAGAAATTTTTTTCCTGACCAAAAAATAAAAAATTTCCTCGCTTACTACATTTTTCATGTTTTTTATGGTGTTAAAAAACAATCATCTGTTTTAATTTGCCTAAATAAATTATAAAAATTATGTTAAGGTAAAAACTAGCTACATAGTAATGAGCACTGGTTTTTCCAGAAAAATAATATATCAATTTGAAATTTGTATGTTAACAAATAAGTGTAGCAGAGCAGGTTGAGTGAATGTATGTTTGTGTAAAACAGAGAGGTTCATTCGGCCCGTACGCCTCGGTATCCGGCCAATTCGATTGACTTATGGCAGAGACTGTAGGTCGTACGGAACGAGGTGAAGCTTGGAGGGGAATAGTGGTGTGGCGGGGGAAGTGTCGCTATGCGAGGCGACAATCGGCTCGTCTCCTACCCCCACCATGGATTTCCCCGCTTTAGACCGTTCCCGCCGAAAATCTCAGGCTTCACCTCGTTCCGCACGACCTCTACCGTTGGAGCTTATGAAACTTGGAGGTTATGAACCGCTCTGTTTATTTGATATTAAAAGTTGGAGTTTGTGAAATTTGGACATTGTGAAACTGTGCTTATTTGAAAGTTATAGTTTTGGAGTTTATGAAGTTTGGAGGTTATGAAACGCACTGTTTATTTAATATTTTAGACGTTGGAGTTTGTGAAATTTGGACATTATGAACCTCACCCGAAATAACTAGTCCTTTGAGAGAACTGTAACGAAAAGATATAGCGTTTTTGTGGATGCCTAACACGAGGAAGCGTTATCTAAACTGAAGGAGCTGATCAGTAATTCACCGGTTCTTGCTTACTTTGATGATAGTAAGCCAATAGTATTACAGTACAGTGTGATAGCTCTAAATACGGAATGGATTTCCCTATTTCAAAATGGTCATCCTGTAATAATATATATGTAGATCAAAAAGCTTTACAGATACTTTATTCACAAACAGAAAAGGGAATGTTAGGAAGCTGTGAATATGTTGAAAGGTACCATATTGTACTGTATAGAATATTGCAAATAATCATAACGCCAGGCTTCAAAGAATGCATCTTAAGTTGGTTAAGTATGTCCTTTAAGTAAAATATGTACCAGGTAAAGAGATGTATGTTGATGATTGTCTTTCAAGATCATTTTAAAAAGATAAAATTATATGATGATCCTGAACTGTTAAGCCTACGATATATCGCAGCAATCGGATTGCACCAACAAATCGTTGCGATGAATTGGACATTGATGTTCTGTCCATATGCAACGATTTTTTGCCCCAACTTCCTTCGCAATTTGTTGGTCTTTTCTCAGTTGTGATCAACATGGAAGAGATACTATTGTGGTCCCTGTATGTAATTTGTTTGTCAAAAGTAGCGAGAAAGAGATGACGCAAACCAAGAAGTAAGTGGTGTCGTTCTTGGCTTCTCAAGAGTGACAAGCTTTCGCATTTCAGAGTACTGAGAAAGTTGAGAGATGAACCCAACGACTGGCGTACAATTTGAAAATGACAGAAAACTGTCATATGTCATAAGGCTCTATACCGGTTGAGGCTACTCACCAAGAGAACTATGAAGAGGGCACAATTGCACTGGGTTTCGAGCAGATGATCACAGCGATAAGTTGAAACGCTCTCTACACGTTCCAACCTGTCGATCCAACCACGAAATCAAATTTTTCATAAACTTTCCAACCCTGATATATTGCAGCAATCTTCCATCCACACGCTCCGATTATCGTAACGATATTGTTGGTAACGTTCAAATCGCTGCGATATATTGTTCATATGTGAGAAGGTGTGTAGACGGGCCATTAGAAGTTGTTCGTTATTTGAGTAAACATAAGCAAATTTTAGAAACTATAAAATCTGAAATTCGCAGTGTAAAAAAAATGATGAGACCCTCAATAGTGTTGTTAAATATGTTCAAGACAGTTGGCCAGATGATGAGCATACTATTCCAAGCCATGTGACAATTTATCTCCAGTTAAGAGGCTGGTTAACATTTGATGACAGGCTATTGTTTTTAGATCATACAATTGTTTTCCCTGATTGTTCTGAGAAGTAAGATATTAAATCTTCTTCACATATCAGGCTATCATATACGGGTATTGCAAAAATTCAACTTAAAGCCAGAATTACACTTTATTAGCCAAACATTATCGCAATATTGAGCATATCATTAGTAAATGTACTGTGTGTGAGCATTATATGTCTAACAACATCAAGGAACTTATTCCGCATTCAGTACCTATTTGAGAATCTATTGAGAAGGTTGCAGTAACACTGTTTTGAAACTCAGTTTTGTACATAGGTGACTTCCCTTATTCTAGGCATACTACTATGTTCTGTGCCGTGATTTCATCGTAGTAAATCCAGTTTTAATGAACGAGACTGTGAGCTATTTTAATACCTAAAGTGAAAATACAACAAAGGTGACAAGATGATACCTACACATATCGTTCCTTAAATTTTAAATGATTTATTTTGGTAAAAACAACTTTAACTCTTTCAGATTTCCCCAACCTCATTTTCCATCAAACTAATAAGCTATGTTTGACTGAGTCACATCATATAATCGTCGAGATTTGTTACATCTACTGTACTATTACTTACCTGTAAAGTATTGCACAAGTCAGTGACCAGCCAAAATGACTCGGGGCCGCCGATGAGAAAAGATAGAATATCCAAAGTCCAATTAAGACCCATGACTATGAATAGTTTCAGATACAGATAAAACCTGAAACAGTATGTATTTTAAAATTTAAATCACATTGAGTCATTACTGTACCAGTATTCTATAAAGTTTGTTGTGTGACTATAAGTATTTAGAGTCTACCTGGTCTTCAAATTGTCAAAGGTGACTTGTTTTATATTGGGTAAGAGTCATATAGTCTTGGATTGGATCAAGTATCATTAGTTATTTTTAAATATAAAACAATAAGTAGTTGAAAAGTGTGTTATATTTCCAATGATTCTTTTTCTTCAACAATTATTGGAATTATATGCCGAGTGTGTAAGAGGTTTTGATTGTAATTTGTTAACACAATTTACACTAAACTAAATTTTACAATGGTTCCAAACAATAAATACTAACTCACTATTTCAACTAACTACGCTTGGGTTTTTATTTGACTTATGTATTTGTTACTGTGGTAAACAGCTAGGTCTCAGACCCGTTTTTGACCCCGTCAACGCCCTAGGCACATTCAATAGTAGCGCCCCATTGCAATACAGGGTGTCAACCAACCGGGAAAACCAGGGAATCCGTGAATTATGTGTGAGTTTTTTTTACCGAGAATTATGCATGACCTTTGTATTTCTACCTAGAATTTTCAATTTACCACAATCGCGCATGACAACAGTGACGTATCCGTGACAGCAGGAGACGATATTATGTCTACACACCGCCACGAGGGATGGTCAGAATTCTCTGCCATCGCAGAAGACGATGATGATATCTACCTACAGTCAGGAGGGGTGATCAGAATATTGCTGCGATCATGGAAGACCATGGTAATGTCCACTTGACTGCGGGATATTATTAACATTTTGGCGCAATCGCTGGAGACAATTACTATGTTTTCACGTCAGCGGGAATCGATAACGATCTCTAAGGCAGTGATGATCTCCACAAGAGTGCGAGAGGTGATCATCATTTTGCCGCAAGAGCGGGAGGCGATTACTATGTCCACACGAAAACGGGGGACAATATAATGATGTCTACATAGCCGTGGGAGACTGTTACGATCTCTAAGGCGGTGATGATCTCCACAAGAGTGCGGGAGGCAATTATCATTTTGCCGCAATAGCAGGTGGCGATTACTATGTCCACACAAAAGCGGGGGACAATATAATGATCACTATGCTTAGTGGCACAGGATCACTTATTGAATAAAATTGATTATATTACCTGTCCATCAGTGATCCTATTGTGGTCTTAGGCGACCGGTTTCGGGATTAAAATCCCATCATCAGGTGGTTAAAAAATGTCATGTCACTCAAGCTGAGGTCGTCGGTGATCACAAAAGCTCACACATAAAATACGAAAACCCTGAATGACATTATGTACAACGTTACTGGCCAGTGTAGGACACTACGATGCGGCACAGGTAGATGCGTGGTCATGAGTGATAAATAGGATCACTGACGGACAGGTGACATAAACCATTTTATATAATATAATGATGTCTCCACGGCTGCGAGTGGTGATTAGAATTTTGCCTCATTCGCGGTAGACAATGATAATCTCTTCACGACCGCGGAATATGTTCACACAGTATATTGCCGGGAAGACAATAATTATGTCTACAAGACCGCAGAAAGTTGTCAGAATTTTGCTGCAATTGCGGGAGACAATTACGATGTCTACACGGTCGCGTGGGATTATCAGAAGTTTACCTCAATCAGGTGTAAATAGTACTACCAATTTTTTCAAAATTTTTAGCACCCACCAAAAAAGCCAATTACCTCACCCCCCCCCCCCCTGTGCACATGCCTACCGTGCCTATTCGCATTGTTTCTCTAGCAAAGGGGATGTGTAGTGTTAGTGTGGTTAACAGCTATATCTGATGTATAGAATTTTTTTCTTTAGCCAGGAGACGTGTGGTGTCGGTGTGGTAAACAGCTAGGTTTGATGCAAGACATTGTCTCTAGCAATGTAGACGTGTAGTATTAGTGGTAAACAGCTATGTCTGATGTATGGCGTTGTTTCACTAGCCAAGGAGACGTGTAGTGTTGGTGTGGTAAACAGCTAGGTCTGATGTAAGGCATTGTTTCTCTATCCAGGAGACGTTTAGTGTTGGTGTGGTAAACAGCTATGTCTGATGTAAGGCATTGTTTCTCTATCCAGGAGACGTTTAGTGTTGGTGTGGTAAACAGCTATGTCTGATGTAAGGCATTGTTTCTCTATCCAGGAGACGTTTAGTGTTGGTGTGGTAAACAGCTAGGTCTGATGTATGGCATTGTTTCACTAGCCAAGGAGACGTGTAGTGTTGGTGTGGTAAACAGCTAGGTCTGATGTAAGGCATTGTTTCTCTATCCAGGAGACGTTTAGTGTTGGTGTGGTAAACAGCTAGGTCTGATGTATGGTGTTGTTTCACTAGCCAAGGAGACGTGTAGTGTTGGTGTGGTAAACAGCTAGGTCTGATGTAAGGCATTGTTTCTCTATCCAGGAGACTTTTAGTGTTTGTGTGGTAAACAGCTATGTCTGATGTATGGCATTGTTTCGTTATCCAGGAAACGTGCAGTGTTGGTGTGGTAAACAGCTAGGTCTGATGTAAGGCATTGTTTCTCAATCCAGGAGACGTTTAGTGTTGGTGTGGTAAACAGCTAGGTCTGATGTAAGGCATTGTTTCTCTATCCAGGAGACAGCACCATAGACTGAGGGTCCAATTCCCACCTTGATCTGGTCTGGTGTGCAACTCATGAGGAGGTCACCTAATCATGGCACTTAAAAACAATGAAAAAAAACTTACCTGGCAGGATTTTAAAATATTTATGCTCAAGATGAGAAGAAACAGAAACACCCAGTAAAACATGCATAAATTTATTAAATGAATGGTTAATCCACAGAGTGCAAAGAATTAAAATTATGCTCTGACTAATTTTTAAATGAACCAAAGGGTAACGATCGTTAACTATAAACTAATTCAAACGATTGTATTTAATATTCTTATTCTTATTGAGGGGAAATACTCCTATAGGCGCTACAACAATATTTAGTCATTATTTTTTTTGGTTTGTGTAATTTTAATTAACGATATTCAAAATTACTTTTATTATAAAATGCACTAATTGAGTAAAAACTGTTATTACCTGACTTTTTCACGACCCTTCTTGGTGTAAGAGTGTAATGTCAGTGCTGTTGAGACGAACATGTACAAGTTGTGGACTAGTATGACCCCAGAGGGAATGTAGAAGTAGAGCAATGCTGCCTTCCATTCTGGAACAATCACATACATCTCACCTATCTGGTCCCCTCTTCACTCAAGCCATCTTGTTCAAACTTAATATACAGTATTAAATTAGTTTGGAATTACGTTCAATCACAAAACACACAAAACAAACTATTTATACCAGTCTAAAAAATATGTGTAAAACAAAACCCATTCTAGCCATGGTACCTCACCTGGATAAAATCTATCAAGATTAAAGATATAAATTGTTTAAATCCTTCAATCACCTCTATCTTGGTAAAGTTAACGTCAAATACCAACCTGCAAACCAGCACTTGGCTTTGCCAAAGTCTGGCTTGATGATGGAGTCAGGGATGCTTGGAGCTAAGTCTATAGCAACCGAGATAGTTACAATAACTAGTGGCATTCCCCAGGCATACAGGGAGTACAACAGGAACTTCTTATGATCCATTCCTTTTTTACCCCATCTGGCAGGTCTTCGTCCACTAAAAAATACTGTGTGTAAGAAATGTTACGACCCCTGACTGTGGTTAGATACACTATTACTATAGCATGTTATAATTGTGGTTAGTGCCTTTGCACAAAAGCGTATACATTAATTAAATCAATCATGTAAAGAAAGCACAAATTTATATTTTGAAAAGTTGAAACTGGTCTTTTTTATTCAATATTATAGAGCTGGGTAGAATTAACAGTTTGAGGTGGTGATGTAGATATTGATATGATATTAGGTAAATTTATCATTATTTAGTTTTTTTGTTTTAGGCTAGCCAAGAGCAAGAAAGAAGAAGTGCCCCATCTTGGCCTGTGTAAATAAAGAGTTTTTAATTCTGTCCCAGAACTCATTGTGCATTTTGAGGGATTTTTAAAATTATTAAAGAAACTTGTTCTTTACTGGCACTTTACAGAAATGTTTCATAGTTTTCATAGTCCACATTATGTTACACTGAGTGAGATTTTGAAATAATTTTACATAGCAGCAGCTATAAACACTGGTAAACATTTCACAATTTTTCACCAGTACAGTACTAGTGAGCAAAATACTCATCAAAGAGAGCAAATCTCAGTGTTCCATTAGTATATTTCTTACTATATACCACAGGGGTTGGGGAGCGAGCTGTTCTAGAGGCTTGACACTTCGGTCCATGAGGTCCCGGGTTTAAATCCCGCCAAATCATCACTGGATTTATCTAAGTGGTAACGCCGCAACCCGTAGGTCTAGCCTGAAGTATGTAATGTGAAAAACAATCCCAGGCTCATCATCATAGGAAAAAATTATATATACCCTTTATCCCAGGAAGCATAAAAAAAGTAATTATTCAAAAGAACAAATTGCTTAGCAGTAGACAACTATTATAAGTCACCCTTGATATCATTTTTACTTTCTCCCACTCCCACCATAGTATATGGAGAAAGTATTGTTTTCGTCAAAATTTTCGAGTTTGAGTTTTGAGTGGATATATTCGTTTTGGGTCCCCCTGGACACAAAAAAGTGGTTTTCGAAGTGATGTCTGTGTGTGTGTGTATGTGTGTGTGTGTGTGTGTGGGTGTGTGTCTGGATGTGTACAGAGCTAGAGACTACACCTGTGGTCCGATTTCGATAAAATTTGGTATGTAGGTTCTAATCCATGGTATCTCGAGGAGTTTTTTCATTTTTTTAAAATTTTGATTTTTAATGGGGATTTTCCCATAAAAACCCATAAAAAACCGGAAAAATCGGATCTTCTAAAAAATGGCCCGAACGATTTTGATAAAAATTTAGTATGTTGTAGCCCTTTAAATTCTGAACAAAATGGTACAAACCCCATTTCTATAAAAATTACGGTTCAAAAGTTATGGTAAGTTATGTTATTTTCCCATAAAAACCCCATAAAATAACAAAAAATAGGATTTTTTACAAAAATCCGGTTTTTTATTTAACATAGTATGTTATGGTCCTTACAATTTTGATAGTTTTTTTCATTTTTTAGAAATTTTTATTTTTAATGGGGATTTGCCCATAAAACCCCATAAAATAACGGAAAAACAGGATTTTCCCAAAAATGGCCTGAACGATTTTGATAAAAATTTTGTATATTATAGTCCTTTATATTCTGAACAAAATGGTACCAATCCCACTTCTGTAAAAATTACGGTTCGAAAGTTATTGTAAATTATGTTATTTTCCCATAAAAACCCCATAAAATAACGGAAAAATCGGATTTTCCCAAAATTGGCTCGAACAATTTTGATAAAAATTTAGTATGTTAGTCCTTTAAATTCTGAACAAAATTTTTCAAATCTCATTTCCGTATATTTACTCTCACCGCTTACACATGATGAAGGTTGTTGACAAACTTATGGGAGAAAGTATGTGTCAGAATGCTGATACCGTTTATTTGTTATGGACTTGATTTGGGTAAGCATTGCTCAAACAAAATTTAGTTTCATTTGCTTCAATTGTAAAACAATATTGTATTAGTGAAAATTGCAGACTAGTAGAACTGTGGTGTACTAAACCCATGTCTATGAGAGAAGTAATTACTTGTGATATTAGTAATAGTATTCTGTCAGGCAATGTACTGGAAAGGGCTCTGTACAGTTCTGTGTTATTACTGATTGTATAGTACTTTTTACAAACCTATGTGTAAGTTATATAGGTACTTAAATCCTCTACAGTGAGTTGTTGTCGATTAAAAAAGTAGGAGAATGTATGAATTTTAATTTATTTTAAACATTTTTGTGCATATATTTGGTACATGGAACTATACATTGTGATTGTTCTCATTGCACTCATGGATACTGTGTACTGTTTTGGACGATGGGTAGCAAATTATAAGGTTTTCATCTATGTATTATAAAATTGAGGAGGTGTCTGTCTGTCTGTCTTCGACTAAAATACTGAACTGATACAGCCAAAATTAAGCACAAAGATGGTCCCCATATCTAGGAATGTCATAGGCCTATTCACTTCCCTGAGTTCCTTCCGGGCTACGCCCGATCCATTAGCCTCGAAGGACTCTTAAGGGTTAAGATGTTTTACTATTTCATACAATGGACTTGAGGAACCAAAATTTATTCAGCCTTCTACAGCCCCTCCCCGTTGCAAAGTATGGGTATAGCCAAGGCATAGCGGCTAGTTAATACATAAAATCAATGTAAATAATTATATTTTAACTTAACTTACCTGAATGACCACCAGATATCAAAAGACATGACGTTTAACCAGAAAGAGCCAGCCAAGAACGTGAACTGAATCATAAAAGCTGAAAATTAAAATGCATTGTCAATTCTGTTCAATATGAAATGTAAAATAAAAATTTTCTTTTTTTTAGAATTCGAGTAATATTGTTTAATAATCTCATGTACAGCGCTAGAGATTGAAAGATTGACTGGTCCGCTTTTATAAATTAGCCTGGGCTCCTAGAAGTTTTGGGTTTGTTGAGGGCGGGAAAGTAACAGAAAATATTTATGACTCATCACTGCCACTACTTTCATTTTTCTACTTGTTTTTATTAATGCCATTTTTTCATTACTCAATGTCTGTTCCTTTTGTTCAATCGCGTGAGAAACATTTTTCAGTTAGCTAATGAATAAGGCTATTGTCATGTTTTTGGATCTGATCCTTTAATTTACACTGCTAAATCACATTCTGGCCACTCAGAGAAACCTATGAGATTATCGAACAACCAAGTGGCAGTTAATTCAAATGGAGGGTGAAAAAATATTTTTGAATATGAAAAATTATACAAAAAGTCCCTAAAATAAAATAGTAGTTTGTGAATTAAAAACATTGAAGCATATTGTGTACCGAAAGTGATGTAACACTATTAATAAACGTTGATAATGCCAGTAACTAGTGTGCTAAACATATAGGAAAATCCAATCATGTAAAGTATATTAAAAGTTAAACATGTTTTTTACATCTTAAACAATAAAAAAATCAATTGGATTCAATACGTTTTGAAAACTAATCCATTTTAATTTGTTAAACCAAAGATTACACATGTGCCATTGTTCGTTTATTCATATCAAAGGGGGGAGGGTCTTGCTTGGGCCCATAGCGTGTCACGTTGGCTTGAAGATGGAACATTCTCTGTCAGGGCTGATGTGCCACCGGTGAGGAGCTTGATGGAGGAGACCAACGACCATCGTAGAAGATAGAGTATATAAGTTAGTTATTTATGGGTTACACCTCATACCAGACATTTTGCTATTTGTGTTTTATTTAGGAAAAAATGGTGTATAAACATTTCATTTTGCATTCAAAGGATATGGAAAACATAAAGTTAACAAATTCAACCAGTGAATAATCCTTGGGGCTCCAAACTGTTTTAAAGTTATTGAATAGCAGGGTTAATGTTTAATCTGTTGAGAGCACAATAAAATGAATGATAATACAGTTGGCTTTTGCTTTTGTAATACAGTAACAACTTTATATTTTGCACTATCGGCCCCCAAAACAGTTATCATAACAATTCCTCCTGGGTCTTTGTCAGAGGCATTTGAAATTATAGTCAAACACTATAAACAACTTGAATTACAACACTATTAGGTGAAAGTGGTTCAAATCCAAAGAATTGTTGATAATGTGCTGGTGGATTGAACCTGCCCCCCTCACACTGACATCACCACCATGGCAACACACGCAATATTCTTTTCATATTCACACTTGTTTGAAATATTCCACGTTTGAATATTTACTTGCAATAATTTTATTTTATTGAGCGGAGCGAATCGAAGCTTTTTGGGATCGACTTTAATGCAAACTTTCTAACACATTAACTCAATAACGGCTGAACATATTTTAGTCAATCTTACCAAAGTTGTTTTGTCAAAGGTTTAGAAGGTTTAGACGAAACTAATTTCGATTTTTGATTACGCCTATATAGTTTAAAAGTAACTCAAAGTTTTTAAATTTAACATTAGCCTTATGGGGTAACATGATAGTTACAGAATAACGACGTACATGTAAACAAAACAAAGAATCGTAGCATATGTTAAAACCAAGCCACGACCTAAACACAGTACAAAGAAAAAAAATCTGATGATGACCATTGATCAAATAATACAGAGAAAGTCTTAATGTAAACATTAAGTAGCATCTAAGTCGAAATTTTGAAACGACCACTGATCGAATAGGTACAGTATTTTACAGATTTTATTTACGTAGGTAAGTAAAGTTATAACAAATAACATTGATCTTATGTTATCTAAATAGGCTATTATGGACATGCTTTCTTATTATTTACTTTGAAATATTTTTGATATCATCGTGCTGTCAACACACTTGTATTGATTGTTGTGTTGGCAACGACTTGAGGTATATTATTGCCCAAGAAGGATGATTTTTTGTGTGTATTTTGTGTATTTTTTGCGTTTTTGTTTTACAGGAAAATACCGAATTCACATTAGAGCGTCATATTAAGGATAATTTCAGAATGCATTCTCAAAAAATGCCTGATATTTGTAAAAAATGAAGACGAACAATAAACACCCGAAACGCACGAAAAACTACTTCCTGCAATGTTTTGAGATAGTTGAATGTAGAACACTTGCTTGAAAACAGCTTTTCATAATTATGTTAAATGTACAAAATTTTTGAAAACAAACCTCATAAGAAATGGTGACAGCTATTCGTGTAATTCTCTCAAAGTAGGAAAGTCTTTAAAAAGTTGCATCTGCTAATCGTATGGATCCATGCAGGATTATTTCTGCCTGAATTGCAAAATCTGGCCAAGATTGAGAAAATTTCGATTGGGTTAGGTTCGAGGTCGGGTTCAACCAGAACTGTATAGGTTCACCAGATTACATTAGCAATCAAACACAGGAAAAATATCGATATACAAAGGAAATGTATGTAATGTCCACATCTTTACTTATAAAACTTGTTGTAGATGTTGATAGTTCTTAGCGAAACTGATAATTTAAATTGATGAAATATTTGTATTTTCTATTATATCCATAAAGGTTTGTATTTATTGCTTTATAAAAAAAGAAACATAATTGCTCCGCTCAACTGGCTTTCACTGATATGAAAGCAATCCTAGTATAACCTTTTTAGCTAACTCCATTTTCATGATCATTAGATCTTTGAGAGTCCAGACTGTAAATTCTGGTCAAACCAAGAAAATCAAAAACATGTAAGTAAAATTGTTTACTTACTCATGAATTTGAACAGAGGGTGTTTTTGGCCTCTGGGGACCTCAAAACAAAAAAGTAAATCGGTCCTGGGTCCAGGTCTTACTATGAGTACCACGGTAACAGCTTATTCCCTATAAGGGATAGAAGACTTTAGAATTTAATATTATCTTTAAAAATTCAATTATCTAAGATGGGGACGCCACTATGTGCGTATTTTAACCCAAATATGAGTGAAGGATGAGTGGCGCGATCTAGTGACTAAGGTTGACATGTACCTTAATATTTATGTTTAAGAAATTAAAGTAGCATTGAGTCAATATTTTCTACCCACTGCCTGCAATGGTTTTGAGGTTTATACGTTAGGCCTTTGTCATTTTCACAATGGATAAATTTTGTAGTGTTAGTAAAATGTGTCATTTGATTTCTCACATTAGAGTGCCAATGTCAGTTTTCTCAGTTTTGGAAAACATTTTAAGGTGTGGTGTATTTATTCTTGAGGGTTATACTTTTCCTAGTATATTATGTGGATTTCCAACATGCGAGTTGTAAAATCAATCTTTAAGTCAGTTTTCATTAAGTTGTTAAGAGTACCTACTTAAAGCCTAGCCGTGCTAATTCCTAAACAAATACCGTACAATACTACAAATAAAATATCTAATTTCTGATCTGATAGCGTCCTAGATTTTCAAATTACAATCACTTTAGTATTTAAAAAAATATTTTGGGATGATAAATAATTCTGTTTAAAATTAAACCAAGATGACCGCTACATCAAAATTCTTAAGTTATATTAACAACAATATTTTGAACAATAGTCAAGTCAAACCAAGCACAAAATGTAAAAAAAACTTACCTATAAACACACACCAGCAGTCTTCTAAAACACCCCCCTTGAGGTAAGCTATTGTAAGGCCGATGTAGGTCAACAGCAAACAAGTACATTGACACACCAAGCACTTGCCATGGAGGTTCCGTAGGGCCGGCAGTATAGAGTACACTACGATAGTGATCAATAGACAGGGCATAGAGATAATCATTCCCAGGGGATACAACAACTGCTGTGCTCTCGTCACCTCATCCCCTGCAGAATCAGGGAGACATACAAACGTCCGGATCTCGTCACTTCCATTCATAGACTCCAGGCAGTAGTTGGATACCTCCAGGTGATCACTGTCCATGAAGTTGATTCTACCGTCGACCAGCAGATAGTGTTGGTCTCCCTCGTCCTCCGGATCCAATATGTATTTGCCGGGACTACACACGTCTCCGTAGAGCAGGCGGAAGTGGTCTCGGTCGACATCCACTCGTTTTCCAGGCGCTTCGTGTACAGGGAGAGAAAAATTTTCGAACGGGGAGGGCTCCGGATTGTGCACACATTTAGCGCGACTCCCGGGGACTCGGACATAATACTCGTCTTTATCACAACACTTCCTGACACAAGGGTGTAACATACACAAACAGCCACGATGAGTACCGTTCAGGGTAAAGTGGTGACCCGAGGGGTAGAGATCGCCGTCGTTCTCTATTGAGCCGTTCTCGTGGAAGATCGGGTTGGAGAGAGCTACACTGTGATTCTCGTGGCAAGGAGTATCCAGCGGTCGGTTGGCTCTTATGTGAAACACCAAAGGTACACCAACGACGGCGATCAGGAAAAGGAAACAACAAACTGCGATGGAGACTCGACCCATTCTCTGGCAACAAACTCCGCTCCGTCCTGTGTTGCCTGGCACACTGCACTGAAGTAAGCACTGTAGGCTACTGTACTGTGGTGTGGTAAGTAGGAGCCGGAGAACTGAGAAGTGACATTTTATCACCACTCAATGACGCATGCGTAAACGAAGCCCGTATACTCGCGGCCGCTTGGCGCTCTATTAAACCGCAATCTAACAAACATCCGACGTGCTGATGTTAACTAATAAGACCAAGATTAGTCAAAACATCACTATCAGTTAGTTCGTTATTTAAGCTTCAGCTACATGTTTCAGTTATCTATTTTTAACTCAGCAGCCAGGTTGTTATACATCTAAGAATGCATGTGAATCGCATTCAATTATCAACTCTCCGAATACAAACGAATTACATCGAGGACATCTCCTTCATCCGATTCCTTTTCATTGGACTCAATAATTAAAATGATCCATTTTAAGACAGTACAACTCTTCCCCCATAAAATAGAATTAACTTTTAGACGCTGTAAAGTAAGTTACCGTATAATTTTGTTGCCTATTGTAGCGCATGTGGACTCACATAGATTAAACATACTCCCTTTTTAGCGAATTTCCCTATAGGGAAGTAGCTATTACCGTAGGTGGCACGGTAAGACCTAGACCCGGGACCGATTTACATTTTCATTTTGATGTCCCCAGAGGCCAAAAACACCATTCGTTCAAATTTTTATATATGTATACGTCCGTGAACGCGATAACTTGAGTAATTTTTGTCCGATTTTGATGAAATTTGGTTTAAAGGTGTAAAGCGGGATAAACTTGAATGAGTTTGCGAACCAGCACGATAAGACCATGGGAACGGGGCTTTACGGGGGGTTTTATGGGGTAAAAATTGGTTTTTCTCACTTTTGACAGTCAAAACACAAAATTTCCCAATTTCTCTTTAGACCTTTTTAAAGAGCTTAAAAAACAAATAATTTAGTATATAAAAGTATTTTTGTTCGATTATTAGTAACGGAGAAAATAAAAAAAATTGTAAATTTAAAATTCCCATGTTATTCTTATGGAGAATATTGTCAAATGTTGTAGTTTGCTTGTTTATGGATATATTTTGATCAAACTTGGCAAATGTATTTATTTTGTACTAAGCTATCAATATTTTACTCAAAAACACACTTTATTAGTTTCCTTGTAGCAGCAAACCTAGGTACTCGTTAAACCTAATGTTATTAAAATATATTTAACTGAAAATCAATTGAGACAAATGGAAATTCGCTTAGTCGGCAGGTTTGCTGCGGCGGGGGTATTTAGTTAGTCTATTATACTACTAACCTACTTGTAAAAAAACCTACTTTTTGTCCAAAGTATTTTTATAAAAATAAAAAATAAAATAGTTTTATAGAATACTAGCTGCTTTACGGTGCTTTGAATCGAGGATGTGGCGGAAGGGGTAATTTGTCTATACGTTAAGAAAAAGTTACAAATCCACATCCACAATTAATTGGTTTATAATAACACGATTGAATCACCCAATTAAAAACAAATCTTTAATTTAGGTAAATGGTTATCAAACAAGGAAAACAAATTTGACAATTTAAACAGTAGTAATACGGCAGCCGCTGCAAACCTTTACACTAATCGAATTTCCAATTACCTTGCTGAATTTTCACTAAAATATCCCCTTAATATTGTCAGACTCATTTCCTGTTTAAATTACATAATTTGTAATGAGTACTTAGGTTTGCTGCCACAGGGGAGGTAATAAGGTGTGTTTTATTGACATGTTGATAGCTTAGTATGCATACTGTGAAATAAACAAATTTCCAAATACTATTAAAATCTATCCATAAACAAGCAAACTACAACAGTTTATTTATTCTCTGTAAAAATAACATAAGAGGTTATCATTTTCACTTTTTTATTTTTTCTGTAACCCTTAGGCATACAACAATGATTCAATATGATAGATTATTTGTTTTTTATGATTAAGAAATATTTTGGAAAGAAATTGCAATTGTTTTAGGGATCGAAACCCCGTAAACCCCTCCATTACAACCACGTTCCCATTGTCCGATATTGCTGGTTGTGATAAACGTTCTGATTAACGTATGTTAACTCATTTGTACCGAATTTCACCAAAGTTAGATCATTATTAGTCGCGTTATCGTGCTAACGTTAAAAAGTAAATCTGTCTCGGGCCTAGGTCTTACCATGAGACCTACGGTACAAGCTTATTACATATAAGGCAAATTCACTGAAACGAAAAATATGGCTCATCCCCACATGAGTTCCAATATAAAAACTGGTTCATGCCTCCTGGTTTAACTCTTGCTATATTGCCTCATTTTCCGGAAAATTTCGGACGATCCCAGTAGTTTTCACGTGATGGAGTACCAGACTAACTCAGAAACATCCATAATTTCCCATTTATAATATCCGCATTTCGTAGGATATAAATGAACACGTACGTTTAGTTGTTGTTGTTGGTGTTGGACAGTAGGCAGTAGATAACAGCACAGTCGGCGACCTTGATCTTGGAAGTGTTGGCATGGAGGGTTTATCTATCCACATGCTACTAATACGCAGAGGACCACATGGCCACAGTGTTCCACGAATGGTTTGCTTGGCGCAAGCGCAAATATGCCTGACGTCAAACAAACTGACTTGCTAATTCCACCAACACAATGGCAAATATTCTATAAACGTCGAATCAGTTGACTACTCATAAATTTATCGATTTCGTCTAGCACTACTTTTACGAGTATTTAACCATTTATGAGTCATTAAGTATGTAAGCTTATTGCTAATAAAACAGTGTAAGTTTATTACAATGCTAAATTATACACGTGCTTTGTATCGCATAGGTGAGAAGAATGTGAGGGTTTAAAACTACTGCTAAACTGCCTACCCACTCGTTTTGATTGAACAATTTTCTTTAGCCTAATTCAACCAGATGTGCGATAGAATAAAGTATATTATGAACTTAAAAGAAACATTCAGCGTGTCTATCTAAGTATGTGGTTTCTCTTTTTGTTGCCATTGCCAAGGATACCAGTCAAAGTACAGTAGGCCTACATTTGAAAGTCATATCTAAAAATTGTTAAATCCGGGGCCGATAAACATTTAAGTGGCATTATTATCGGATTATGAGTTAAATCGCCGTAATAAAATTTGTAGGCTAGACTTATGGAAACCACCGACTACTTGAGCCAAAGAGCCATTGCACCAGGGTATAGGCTGGGGTGAAATGTGTTTGAGCAAAAATTCTACAAACTCTGAGATAACTGTAGCAAAAATATTATTCTTTTAGCATTAAACAACTTTTCATTAATATTACATATTTGAACATTACATCTTCAATTTGATTTGTAGGTAGCAAATTTGCTATAGCCTCCAAAAAACAATGTAGCATTTTTAGGTTGTGTATAGCAAAATGCTAAAAATGCTACCACAGCTTAAACCCTGCTTTCCACCCTGAAGTCAAAACTGAGACATCTTGTTTTAACAGTTTTGATATGCTGTTCCCCTTTGACTATAATAGAATAATAATGTAATGACGTAAAACCACACAAATTCCAAAATTTGTGGACATTAAGTTTGGGTTTGGGGGTTGTCGAATTATATATCCAGAATATTAAAATTGGTAATGGGGTTTTAATAAATGAATACATAGCATAAGAGAATAGTTTTTACATAGAAATGCATGTGCAGTTTTACATGTTGAGTAAACGTTCTTTTAATAAATACTGAAAATATTCTACAATTAAAGCTAAATGTTCTGAAAAAGTTACTCGAAAAGTCGAACGGACTAACCCAAAGACATGCCCGGGCCTAATACAAACTTCGCGGTATCATCACGCAAGAACTGCTAAACATAAGTAGCCAAACTTATCAAGGATACTTCGACACTCGCATTGTAGTACAGGAAATATAGTTATAGATATTTCCTTTATTATTGCATTTCCTTTATTATTTATTATTATTTATATATGCATCCTTTATTATTTATTATTTATATATTCCTTATAAAATTGAGTATTTATGCAACTAACAGATTACACACAAAAATCTGTTAGTTGCATTAAATATCTGTTTATCATTCACAAGAGTGTAAACTTGTAAATCAAGTAGCCTTTGGAAAAGCGGCCGGTGGGGCAAATATCCTTCAATATACAGCAAATATACACACTCCAAGCTTATTTTTGATGTACCATAATATTTCTATATTTTTTTATAAATGGTGACCTTTCCCCATTTTCCGGCGAGTATAGTTTGCCATTCGAGCAGTCAGGAAAATGGTGCCCGGCGACCTATACTCGCCATTCGACCGCAAAGGGTTAAACAATGGCCACAAATTTGATCTTATCACTTCAATAATATGATAAATTACTTTTAAAAATCCTATTGATCGACCAAGAATGATTTACATGGTATTCGATTCAAGGAAAGAAGTTTCATCGCCACGTCAGCTAATTGCGTGTTATTATTTTCTAACACAAACTGTGTCTATTTTCATATCAGTCTCGTCAGCATTTTGTTTCAGATGTCAGAGGTCGTCCGGTCTTGGTTTTATTTCTCACACAATCAGTTCCCCCAACTTCCTATTATACCATTCATAAATTTGATTGTGCCGAGGTGGTTTTTTTTATTAAATGTTTGTTTAAGCTTCGGTAAAAGTCTTGATAAAAATATAAACATTTTACATTTTCACATGACATTATAACAGGTGATCAGCATATATGATTATTAAAACACCCAATAGAATGCTAACTATCCTATACTCTAATACGAGCAATGTTTGCTTGTATGTATGCTTGCTTGCTTGCTTGCTTGCTTGCAGAAAGATCTCGAAAACGGTCCCGACGATTTTCTTCAAATCTTGTAAATAGTTTATTTTTGGCCTAAAAACGAGTTTCATGCAGTTAGAACTGCCAACAAAAATCTAATTACGTAGAAAAAGGAAACTGAAAGTCACATTTTTTTAACATTAGTCTTATGGGTTGCTTAGTAACCATTTAGGTTGAATTAAATAACAAGGAAAAAGTAAACAAAAGACTTGAAGTTGTAACATGTGTTCATAATAAGGCAACTACCCACAGTAAACTAGCA